TCTTGTAATGAAATGATCGATTCTTGACTGTATCGGATGTAAGAACCGAGGCCAAAATGTAATAAAACAAATGACGACGTCAAAACGCGCAATATTAAATTAACTGAGAAGTTTTTGTGATGGAAATATAAACTAACTATAAACGTGCGAAACTAATAATTTTGCTGCTTTATTAATTTTATTTTTACAGCGGTCTATGCGGTTACATGATTTTCTTCAATTCTTCATCTTTTGGCGGTAATTTTATTAACGTCACAGAATATACACATTTTATTGCAGTGGTCTCAATTGAAGGTTTTTTTAATTGCAATCTTTTGAAATATCGTGACTAGATGGTGTTACCGCTTAGTAAACAAAATAAAAAACGAACCGAATTAGGCAGAATATAATTTAAAATTAAATGAGTTTTGTTTTAGTTCGTATTTAAAAAATATTTCAACCGGGAACTAATACATTTTAAAAAACTACCGGACAGTCCTATAACAGTTCAAAAATTTTTGTAAGGCTTATTACGTTCACAAACTTTGTTTATTATGCACCCAAAGTTAGTCTATCCGTTTGCTAGTCAAAGTATTCAATCTTATATAAACAACAAAAATATATTAAATTACTTTTGTTCCTACAACAAGTCAAAACTGACTGTTTAATGAAATTTTTTGATTGTTTGCTATATTACTTAAATTCGAGACACGTGATAAATATTATACTTTTATGGCACCAATTCAAATTTAATGAGATTCTAAATTCCTATTTCATTATTAGCTGTTTTAAACGACTTCAAAAAAGAAGGAGGTTCTCAATTCGACTGTATTTTTTTATGTTTGTTACCTCAGAACTTTTAACTGGTTGAATCGATTTTTTATTATATGCTTTATTTATAACCTTTGTATTAGCAAGAGCTGATCCACCAGATGGTGAGTGATCACCGTCGCTCATGGACGTCTAGCTCACGTTGAAGCTGACTAGCTTGGACATAGGGGCAGCCCTAACAAAGCTACTATTTTTTTTTTATTGCTTAGACAAGTGGACGAGCTCACAGCCCACCTGGTGTTAAGTGGTTACTGGAGCCCATAGACAGATCACCACAGACATCTACTACGTAAATGCGCCACACAAATCTACTAGGACATCTAAGCCGCTGCCTACTGCTAAAACTAACGAGCCATGAATTAAGGACTATTTTCGAATATTTTGCATAATTAATAATTTGCATTCTCTAAATCAACTTGCCCATCATCAAACACACTTAAATATACTTTAAAAATATCATTATTCAACTCGATGTGGTATTCATAACGTAATACGAAAACCATTTTTGATTAAAATTAGTTAATTAATATTCTTTATAGTGTACAGAGATAAGATGGTAAAAGAGTTTTAACCAAGAATGTGGAAGGCTTTAGAGGAAGAGGTAGGTAGACCTAAGAAGAAATGGATGGATTGCGTGAAAGACGATATATGTAAGAGGGGAGTGAGCAAAGGCGGCTCCAATTAAGAAAATAAGCAACTCTTTCAGGGGGCTGGGTGTACAACTTTTCAACAAGATCCCACAAAACGTTCAACTACTACCTGTTCATAGATTTAAGAAAACTGTCAAGGAACGTTTGTGCAACAAGGCATATTATAAAATTAAGGATTTTTTACTAGATGGCACTACGTGGGAATGAGGCGTTCGCTCCTGGCCTTTTCATTTTTCATTATTATTATTATTTATTTGAATTGTATTTTTTTGACTTGTTTTTTCGTATACTGTAAATATGTTTTCTTATTTAAAAAAAAAAAGAAAATATTTGAGAAAATCCAAAAAAAAACAGCCCGCTGAGTTTGTTTCGCCGGTTCTTCTCAGAACTGTGGCTTTTTTTGGAACCGGTGGTAGAGTTAACATTTTCTTTTACATTTTGACATTCAACAAGTGTGTTTTTGATGACATCCAGGGTGCAATCGACAGTGCATTAACATCAAAAATAAAAAAAATATACAGCTAAGATTTGAATACATTTCATTCATTGCTTAAGATTAATTTAATTGGGAGATGATCCGCGACAGATTTTTCCTGTAAGTAGTGAGACAATCAGAAAAAATATCTATTTCACTTAAAATAAGTTCAGCGCAATCGGACAACTCCGAAGGAACATTGACGGAGACCGCGCTACCGTGGTCATTATTGTAGTCCCAAAGGATTCTGTTTAAGGGAGAGTAAGCACCTAAATTCGAACGAGCGGGCTTTCTTATAAACGGTTTATATTTCTTCGTTCTTGGTAGGTACTTAGGGGCTGATATTTTTATCTGGGTTAATAGATTAGGTGTGTCGGTTATTCCATGAATTAATTTGTACAGAAATATACCCCCCATTAGTTTTCTCCGGTTTAGAAGAGAGTCTAAATTAAAGTGGCAAAGTCTATCTTCATAGCTGGGTAACTTCCTACCCAGATTGTAGTTGTAAGACAAGTACCATAGAAACCGTTTCTGGACACTTTCCAATCGTTTCTTGTATATTTCATAGTAAGGATTCCACACAATGCAGCAATATTCCAAGGTACTGCGTACGAGAGCATTATAAATTGTGATCTTAGTGTTTGGTTTTTTGAAATCTTTGCAATTGCGAAATATAAATCCCAATGTTTTAAAGCTCTTTCTGGTAATATTCTGAATATGTGTGCTGAATTGCAGCTTACTATCAATGGTCACACCCAGATCCCGAATAGAGTCTACCTCAGATAGTGGTGCACCATTAATATGATACGTTCGAGAAAATGAGCGTCTTTTTCTGGTAAAACGAATTACATAGCATTTACTGATATTCAGACTCATGCCATTCGCACTGCACCAGCCAAACAAACTGTCCAAATCCCTCTGAAATAATTCAGAGTCAAGAGATGAGTTTACTTTCCTGAAGAATTTTAAGTCGTCGGCGAACATATAGAACTTTGTGCTACGAAAACACGAGCCAATGTCGTTGATGAATGCATTAAAAAGTAGAGGACCCAAATGAGAGCCTTCGGGAACCCCAGACAAAACTTTATACTAAACTCACGATGTCCTACTACACTATAATATGAAAGAAGTCATCTTATAAATTGACCCACCGTTTATTGGGTTCTTTTAGAATTTGCAACCGTCATCATGAACAACCTCCGCGGCCCTAGCGACCCGACCGACGGACGGACCTATTTTATTATTACATTATTTATTTTCTACCTCAAAATATTTTTTTTTCGTAGTTTCAGAAGGTTGTCACAGCGTAATCTAATTAATTTATTAAAAATGGGAAACAAGGGAAGTCCTTTGATTAAACTAAACGCAACCGACGCTTCCTCTTTAGGTTGTTTTAATCAAATCACTGTTAATGAATCGTGATACCCTAGAAAATATATATTATTTAATATCTGTTCATACGTAGACAGCGCAAAAGCGACACATTTCGTAAAATAATTCAGCGTATTTCTACGGACTAACAAGCATAAGTATTTGCAAACGCTTTATCAAGTTGCGTAGGACCAGGACGCTAATACCAAACTCGCGGGGTAGTAGCCAGGCAGCACCACGAATCCACTTCAAGATCGGAAACAGCAATTTTAGCAGTAGGCAGCGGCTTGGCTCTGCCCCTGACATTGCTAAAGTCCATGGGCGACGGTAACCACTCATCGTAAGGTGGGCCGTAGGCTCGTCTGCCTACAAAGAGATTTAAAAAAAAAAAACTCATTAACTCAAAATTTTCACTCTTAAGAAACAGACTAAGCACCACTGAGTGACACATAACTATTAGTGACATATGTGTTTTAACGTCAAATGATCTTTGGCCTCAATGCTTCGTGCTTCGTCACCTTGAAGTCCAAGGTCCTCTTACAAGTGTTGTAACAAGCGTTCAATTACTTTAAGACGCTCCTTGAGAAATGTTTTAACACTAAAGTATTAGTAATGAAGAATTCATTAGTGTACATTTAATTGTTAGTAATTACGTATTACGTTATTAAATGATTCAAGTAATCATTGAGTATAACATACACATTATTTAAAAAGCATTTGTGCATCTTTATAAAAAATAGTTTTGGGTAATAGACACGAGATTCAACCTTAGATGTTTGTTAATTTTGATTATGATTTTATTTGTATAATAACACGAGTTGTGCTATTATACAAATAATGACACATATCAGTACCGACACGACGTCCTGCCTATTCGTGTTGCGCAGAAACCACATTCCACCTAGAGCTTTGTAGTGACGGAGTATTTTTTTTTTGCTTAGATGGGTGGACGCCCCCCTGGTGTTAAGTGGTTACTGGAGCCCATAGACATCTACAACGTAAATGCGCCACCCACCTTGAGATATATGTTCTAAGTTCTCAGTATAGTTACAACGGCTGGCCCGCCCTTGAAGCCGAAACGAATTACTGCTTCACGGCTGAAATAGGCGGGGTGGTAGTACCTACCCGTGCGGACTCATAAGAGGTCCTACCACCAGTGATTACGCAAATTATAATTTTGGGGGTTTTGATTTTTATTACACGATGCTATTCCTTCACTTTGGAAGTAAATCGTGAACATTTGTTAAGTATGCGTAATTGGTACTCGCCTGCGGGATTCGAACACCGGTGCATCACTACAACGAATGCACCGAACGTCTTATCCTTTAGGCCACGACGACTTCTCACTTCTCTATACATCACATTTCTAGGTAAATCCATAAGTTAACATAAAACGTCCCACCTCGAGATGTGACAATAAGTCCTACGACTTTACCAGCTTCCACACCGAAATAAAAAACTACTTCGCAATAGAAATAGACAGTATGAGTATCCAAATACAGCGGCTCGCATTAACACCAACAAATTAATATGTACAAATAAACTCATTAAACATAGCCCTATTCTAATTAACTCTAGAGTCTTAGAACTTAGGACCGAGGTCAACTCACAATATCCAAAAATCAGAAACATATATACCAACCTCACGGACACAACACTTCACAAACTAAATAAATATTATGTAAATAACGTACCTATAATATAAATTCACTGCACACAGCACTTTCTCGTTTCGCGTCGACCCTACCACTGCAATGCGCTGTTCGTAACTCGATCCGTTCCACTCCTACTTAGCCATCGCATCAAGGATGTCGCATCGGTGGCTCGACATTCATACTTACGCTAAGCGGTAACAAATGCTGTTCAGAGTCTGCCACTACTAAATACATTATTCTGGTGGTAGGACCTCTTGTGAGTCCGCGCGGATAGGTACCACCACCCTGCCTATTTCTGCCGTGAGGCAGTAATGCGTTTCGGTTTGAAGGGCGGGGCAGCCGTTGTAACTATACCTGAGACCTTAGAACTTATATCTCAAGGTGGGTGGCGCATATATATGGGCTCCAGTAACCACTTAACACCAGGTGGGCTGTGAGCTCGTCCACCCATCTAAGCAATAAAAAAAGCACCAGGCGGGCTGGGAGCTCGTCCACTCATCTAAGCAAACAAAAAAAAATTAATATCGTAGACAGATCTGGAAGTGTAGAAGTCTTGATTTTGTTCTCTACAAGTTGCCTAGAAGTAAAGAACACATTAGTACCCGAATAAGTATCCAATACTTTTATAACACAGGTTTTCCTAGCATAAGTCAGGGAATATTGTTATTGTGTACCTCGTAAAAAAGCCATATATACTATTGTACTAGTGTTATAAATTCTTGTACGTGTTTGTATTTTAAGAGGCTTGAATAAAATATTATTATTATTATTCCATATTTATTTAATATCTTATTAATTACATAATATTTTTCAAAAAAGATAATAAAAATACAATTATTTAAAAACACTACATAAATTATAAAAAAATAAACACTATATAAACACTATATACTTATTATTATTTATTATTTATATAGTTCATTATAACTCAAGGAGCAGTAGTAACTCAAGGATGCCGCAGTCACACTACCCTAGTGAAACTTCATGTTCATTTGTGAGGGCGGGTGGTGGTTACAATGTAAACAACTTGTTGCCTGCTAGTTCGCTCATCTATGCCAAGTAAGGAATCTTAATTATGGGTTTATAATGTGTGGGTGTGTTTCACGTATTTATTGCGTTAATTTCGAGCATATTCATATTTGTCTACCTTTTAAACCTTCTCTGGACTTCCACAAATAATTCAAGACCAAAATTAGTCAAATCGGCCCAGCCGTTCTCGAGTTTTAGCGAGACTAACGAACAGAATGCTGCTCAATGAATTGACATTTATATATATATATATATATATCGGTAAATAACCTCACAAATCACATGCTATTACCTGGATATCGGAGTCCATAGACATCATGATCTGAATGCCGATAAGCATATTAATGCACGAGACCGGAATCTGAGTTTAATTATTTAACACAATTTAACGCAGTCAAAATTATTCATCGCAGTAAGCTTATTCGCAGTATTTTTTCCTCATTTACAATTTAAATGCTCTGTAAATTAATGTTGCATGAGAAACTGCAAGCGTAAGACCCCCTCCCCATCCTCTTTGGTTATTTAGCATGAAAATATAAATTCCAAATAACTTTGAGATTCATGTAGCGACATTAAATTCGGTGTGTAAATAATAACTATTTGACCAGTTTTACATAGTATCAATCTATACGCAAACATCTTACTCTTAGTAGACAATCTCACAATATCAACACGATAACTTACTAACGTCACGCTAATAAACTCAGCTCTGCAGCAAATAACAAGGGTTGTACAGTGAAGTATTGACTCTAACACGCTAAGAAGAAAATTTAAAATATGTTTATACGTAAAACACTAATAATATTTTCTTCAAAAACACCAATCAATCAAATTACGAAAATTTGGTAAGTAATCGTCCTATCGTGACTCGGCTTGAAGTTGTTAATTCACGTAACTCGCACACAAACACATGCGAACATTAATGAGGTAATATGCAGGCGCAAGTGTGCTGGAACGAAAGAGAAAGTATAAAGTATTTGCGCCTATTCTTGTTATATACGATATTAAAACCACCGACATTTTTGCTAATACAATCTACCTTTAACATTTATGTAGATTCGAAATTAAAACACGGTTATATAATAATCATTTAATAAATTGTCACGCCATCACGTATTTCAGTATTTTAAGCTATTGCATAGATTTTATCGCGGGCTTTGAGCGCGGCGACTGAATCAAGAAATTCCGTAACGAAAATAACCTGACATTCACACGTTGCTCTTGTGTAGTGTTTGTGAATAGGCGCGTGGCGTGACGTCACACTGCATGCGCATCATGAAAAGTCTGCCCATCTCTCTCTCGCGTGGTCTAGCTTATGAGTGTGAAGGGGACAGTTAATGTTTTGCTTTTATTAATGTTGAAAAAAAAAATCTAATATAAAAAAAAATCTAATATTAAAAAAAAAAGACATGCCCGCTGAGTTTCTCGCCAATTCTTCTCAGGACGGAGGCTAGTTTTTGTGAATTGGCGGTAGTTCTTTTGACGTTCAACAAGTATGTACTTTCATTTATGTTGAATAATTTTTTTTTGATTTGTATTGATTTGATTTTAATTTGAATAAAGCGTGGTCTTGTTTTATTATTGTTTTAATATTAAATTATCATTGTCTAATTATAATTGCATAAGTTGATACAAAAATGCTATGCAATAACTTTACCGCGGCAGTTCCCGAGTGCCACACGTTTTTTTTTGCTTAGATGGTTGGACGAGCTCACAGCCCACCTGGTGTTAAGTAGTTACTGGAGCCCATAGACATTTACAATGCAAATGCGCCACCCACCTTGATATATGAGTTTTAAGGTCTCAGTATAGTTACAACGGCTGCCTCACCCTTCAAGCCGAAATGCATTACTGCTTCACGGCAGAAATAGGCAGGGCAGTGGTACCTACCCGTGCGGACTCACATGAAGTCCTACCACCAGTTATTACGCAAATTATAATTTTGCGGGTTTGATTTTTATTGCACGATGTTATTTCTTCACCGTGGAAGCCGATCGTGAATATTTGTTAAGTACGTATTTCATTAGAAAAATTGGTACCCGGCTGCGGGATTCGAACACCAGTGCATCGCTAGATACGAATGAACCGGACGTCTTATCCTTTTGGCCACGACGACTTCTTACTAAATAAAACGTCGACTAAAACTTCGACTAGATAAAAGGAAAAAAAATATCATCAATATCAAGATATGTCTCTTTTTTTTTGTTTGACAACATAAAATTACATAGAAATAGAAATAATTACAAAATAGAGAGAGAAGGGATGAGAGAACGAAAAGAAAGAGGGAGAAAGACAAAGGTATTATACACTACTCGCTTGTGTATACGACTGTCGCGCCTGCGCACGTCTCATTTAACGGTTTTATTCCACGCACTTTTTTCCACGGATTTTTTCTTACGGTTTTACTATCACATTTTTTTCAGTTCGGTCGCGCAGCAAAATCCCTATCCCCTCCAAGCCTGCCGTAAGGAACTTCGTTCCAATAAGAGGTTAAAACAAGTTAATGTCGCAAGATCTCAGAATAGCAGCTAAAAGTCGTCCAGCCAATGTCAATAGCGCTGCCGTTCGGAAGCGGTCACGTAACTTTTGCGTAACAAGAAAACGTTACCTAAATACATATTATAAGTTTTATTTAACTTTATCCTGGTCTTTTTAAACGGAACACACTGGATCCGGAATAGATTCGAAATTAAAACACGGTTATATAATAATCATTTAATGAATTGTCACGCCATCACGTATTTAAAAAAAAAATTTTTAGTGCTTTGTTGTGTAGATGAGCTCACAGCCCACCTGGTATTAAGTGGTTACTATTGCGCAAAAGAACGCTCTGAGATCGTGGTCAATGAATGATAAAAAATATGCTATTTTTTGTACGTTATTACAAAGCTAAGTCGTACACTGTGTGCATTACTAATTTGTACGCTATTACAAAGTTAAGTCGTACACTGTGCATTAGTAATAAAAATCTTACGTTACGGACGTTTTTTCCCGGTTAGGGTACCTACCCCTCCGCATCGCTCCATAAGGAACTTCGTTCCAAAACTTCGTTCCAATCAAAAAGAGAAAATTAATACTAACACATTCATGCATTAAACGTCATCTTAATTCAAGTAATTGCAATGATTTGAAAGCGTGTGAGTATAGGATGGGAGAGCGAACAATCAGGCACGTCGACTAATAGTCCAGGTGTTCCCTCGTGCGCAGCGCACTGAATGTATTAACTCATGAAACATGACACGTGCTTAGCATACACAACCGATTCTACGCTGTCCTAAATCTATACTCATATTATAAAGCTGAAAAGTTTGTTTGTTTGAACATGCTAATCTCAGGAACTACTGGTCCGATTTGAAAAATTCTTTCAGTGTTAGGTAGGCCATTTATTGAGGAAGGCTGTAGGCTATCACACGGTAAGACCAATACAAGTGGAGCACCAATAAAGAATGTTTCAAAATAGGGGTTTAAATAGGTCCTTAACAGTCTATAATTCAAAAATATTTTCACTTTCTACATAAATGACGTGGGGGGTAAAATTTAGCGTTATGCCAAAGTAAGTATTACACGAGGACGGAGTCGCGGGTAAAAGCTAATTATTTATAAAGTGTTTTATTTGGATGCATTTGATATTTCTATATTGTCAGGAGCCAGATGGCATACGACCTCATGGTTGAACTGACGTCAGTGGATCTCAAGTGAAGCCCGCCGCGCAGCTCATTTTAAATCTAAACGTTGTGTATCCACGGGACTGATCGTAAGGCTATTCCAGTTTTATTGCCACCTCATTAAAATCAACCTCAAACTTGAATCTCAAGTCGTCGAATTAGGTGACCTGTTCTGATTGATATAAGCCTGAAACTTCTCTCCAATGTTGTTATTACTCATAGCTTCGATCAATAAGGTTTTCGACAGCGTTATACAGATAACTCCTGCGCAAATTCGTGAGCAATGCAACGTAAAGGAAACCTAGATATTTAATCAGAACATTCCGAGACTTACACATATTCAGGGGCCTCCATTTACCGCAAGTAATTTTACAAATTTTATTTACCAACAAAAACAT